GGCAGGCCGGGGAAGCCTGGGGACCCCTTCTCAGATGTGGAATCCTTGTGAGCACATTTTTAAATTAAAAAAAAAATATATATATATATATGATTACAAAGAAAATCAATTGTATTGAAACCGAATATCACGCTAAAAATATTTTGAAATATAGGCATACATTAATTCACGTCCTTATTTTTTAATGAGTTTAATAACGACAGTTGTTTCAATATATCGATGGCCATAAACAATATTTAAAGATACAGCCAATGCTCATTATTTGTGAATTCTATCGTTGCGAATTCTCCCACTTGCTAACATGAGTTGGTGACCCCCAAAGCAACACTCACCGCGCGTCTGCGGTCCTTCGAGCGGTGAAAACTTTGTCTCCTGACCTGCAGGCTCCCGGCTGAAGCTGGATGAGGTGACGCTCTGCCTTCTTGTTTTAACTTTCACACTATGAACGAGTCCTTCTCACGTGATAGCTACGGCCACATTTGTTCACTTTTGTTTTTCTGTTGGCGACTGCGCTGTTTACAGTGTCTTCCCGTGCTTAGGTGCCGTTGGTGCCTCTCAGTGCCAGGAGGCTGTGATGTGCCTTGTGGAGAAAATAGACACGTAGATAAGCTTCTTTTAGATGTGAGTTATAGTGCTGTTAGCCTTGTGTTCAATGTTAACCAATCAAAAATAAATTAAATAAGGTGTCTTTAAACAAAAAAACACACATAAAACAAGGTCGTGTATTGACTGGTTGATGAAAATGTGACCAAGGCTTGCCGGGCTGTAGCCCTGTATTTCTAGGCCAACCCAGGAGCAAAGGTTCAGGATTTGCTAATTCAGTGTTCAAGGCAACTTCATAAAACACAGCTGCCGTGACTAATCAGGATTGACTGTGTCTGTAACAAATGCGACGTGGTATGAAAATATTAGTGACAAACTCAGCTAAAAATACAATTGTGTTTTGTGTCCTACATTCATAATAAAAGCAAATGTCAAATTTTACTTAGAGAGTAGTGAAGACAGTTTTCCTCCCATTCGAGTTCCCAGGTGCTCTTAATTCTGGAGGGAGGGAGTCCCTTGGGCTCCAGTTAAGAATCCCTTCTCTGGTGGGATTAATTTGGTGAGACAGTGGAGTGGGGGAGAAGTCCTGGGGGCTCGGGTGCTGTTATGTCGTGTAGCAATGCAAACCTCATGTAAAGATTATTAGCTGATCGGCTTTTGCGCCTGAAAATGTTTTTCACCAGAGCCTGAACCCAAAAGGCTCTACCCCAAAAGGAAGAATGCCCTGGGGGTGGGTGGAGAAATAGATGTTCTCAATAATTATTTATGTGGAAAATGAGGAGCCCCATTTCAATAACGAAGGGCAAGACTGGTCTTAAATAGGAGAAACAAATGACGATATGATGTTGGGGTATTTAGATGAAGATCACACAGGAGCCCCAAGTCTCCCCAGCAAGGGTGCCAGAGAGGAAGGCATCCTCTCTGGTGACTGCTTTTCTTTCTTGTCTTTCTTACCACAAGGAGTGTGATCCAATGGGACTAATTTAAATGCGTTAAAAAAAGAGGTTCCTTTTTGTTTTTCTTATTTATTTACTTTAAAAAAATTTTTTTAAAATTATAGTTGACATACGACATACAATATCCTATTAATTTCAGGTGTATGACATAGTATTCAACATTTATATACCTTACAAAGTGATCACAATAAATCTAGTAACATCTGTCACCATTCGTAGTTATATTTGCTCTGTTCCCTATGCTGTTCATGACATCCTCATGATTTATTTAACTGAAAGTTTGTACTTCTTAATCCCTTCCCCTTTTTCCCCGCCAACCCCACACATCCTTCCTCTCTGCCAACCATTGGTTTGTTCTCTGTCTCTATGAGTCCGTTTGTTTTGTTTCTCAGATTCTGCATATAAGTGAAAACACACGGTACTCATCTTTCTCTGTCCAACTTATTTCACTTATAATATTCTCTAGGTCCATCCAGGCTGTTGCAAATGGCAAGATTTCATTCTCTATTATGGCCGAGTCATATTCCATTGTAAATGTGTACCGCATCTTCTTTATCCATTCATCTTCCGACGGACACCTGGGTTGCTTTCATATCTTGTTAACAACGCTGCGATGATCGCTTTTTGGTTTTTAATTAGTGAGAAATAGCAAAGTGTGACCTGGAAAGCAACCCCGATGCCTCCTTCACTCACTCATCGACTCAGTACGGCTTACTGAGCACCTCTCATGGGCCAGGCACTGCAGGGGGTGAAAATGAGCCTCCAGGTTCTCACGTCATGGAGCTTCTGTCCAGGTTCCGGCGTGTCTCACCCGGGAGTCACTCTAGGAATCGGGGAAGGGGATGCCAGTCACGCCAGGAAAGCCTTCAGGGTGCCTCTCAGAGGACAGCGCTCACACGCTGCGATTCTGAAAAACAGGGCTGGCGACGGTAGTTCAAGGGCTGCCAGCGCCGAAGCACCTGCGGCTGTCTCATGAATTCGGGACGCAAGTGACGAGATGTGCACAGAGCACCTGATAGGGATGGAACATCCCGGAGCCAGAGAGAAGGACGTGGTGGATTCCCAAGGAAGGAGCGTGTCTGGATTGAAGCGGGGTATAGAAAACACGGAGTCAGATGCGAGGGCTCCGCACCCGCGGGCTCCCCACCCCGGGGAGAGGTCCTGGCCTTGGGCTCGGTTTTTGTGCTGACGACAGGGCACTTAGTATTTATTTTGTGCTGTATTGGTGTTTTATAAGAAAAAGAGATGGAGCACCATCCTCTCCCACTCCGGATTTCCTGGGGCTGACCCCAGGAGTGAGGTCGGGGCTCAGGACCCAGGTGCCTCTGTCTTCCCACCTGAGCCATTCAGGGGAAGATGAGGAAAATGGAACCTGTTAAATTATTCCCCAAGGTGGGGGGTTCAGTTCCTAAGAGAATTTAAACAGGAACAAGTGGCGGGGACAGAGATGACCTCCAGGCTGGGAGAGAGGTCAGGCGCAGGACAGTTCAGCCTGGGAACCCCCTCTCTGTCCTCCCTGAATGCCCCTAACTGCTCTCTCCTTTCCCCAACCTTTGAGAATTTAAACAGGAACAAGTGGCGGGGACAGAGATGACCTCCAGGCTGGGAGAAAGGTCAGGCGCAGGACGGTTCAGCCTGGGAACCCCCTCTTTGTCCTCCCTGAACTCCCCTAACTGCTCTCTCCTTTCCCCAACCTTTGAAAATAAACCTCCCTTTTTTTTTTTCCAGAGTCTTCTGGAAAAAGATCAGGGCCTAAAATGAATTCTCTATCCTCTCAAGAGCCGCAAAAGCAATACAAGATAATCAGCTTCACGCATATTCTTGAAAATAGAAATTAGAAGAGCAGTAAATTAACTTGGAAGCATTTTAAAGAGAGGAGGGATTGAACAGAATTTTTTCTAAAGGAAAACAAAATTTTAGTGCAGTGTTCTCCGGGTGTATCTTGAGACTAAATGATTAAGATTTCAGATTAAAAAAATTAAAAACACAGCACTACAACAATTATTGATCAGTATTTTGGCGCTTCAAAGTAACAGATTTTGAAACATCTAAACCAGTAATGCAATTACCAAGGTCGTATAAGCGGGCACACCCCTCAGGAGGAGGGGGGTACCCCAGGTTTCCACAGCCCAGCTCACCCACACCACACACTCTCCAATTCATCGTCTTAGTTCGTATTTCCCGTTTGGAACCTGATGTCGTGTTGGTCGCCTGTTGGTCCACCTCCTGGGGACATGTGTTGGTCATGTTGAATCAAGGGTTCCTTCTAGGTGACAGAAATTAATAGGTTTCTAACATTTTAAGGGTTTTGGGATCCCTAAAACTGGAGCTCCCACATAACCTGACAAATTAATCTTTTGACCAGAGGTAGATTTACCGTAAATATGATAAAGGTTAGGTTTTGGGGTCCCTTCCCGACCCCTGGGAGGGTCTCAGCAATGTGTTCACATGGTCATATGCTTTCTGAAGTTTGCAAAAGTAAGAGACTTTAAACACAGCTGCTCTCTCTGTCATACTTGCCCTTATATCTATGGGCGCTGGGGCAGCCACAGGAATTTTGGGGAAGTTGAAGCAGATATCCATTTGAGTTGAGTTTAGCTTGAAATATTTTTGTGGTTTGCAGTCATTTCTGTGCATGGTTAGGTTATTGGGCTTCCAGGTACAGTCCTATTGTCCACAAGCATTGTGACAAAGGTGCCAAAGCTCCTGGCACAAGAAGTGTGTGGGGGAGAAGCAAGGTAGGAAATGCACACAGCCGGATGCTAGTCTGTGGCAACGTCCTCCACTCATCGGATGGGCACCCTGAGTTCGAATTCATGCCGAGTCCAAAGGGAAGTATCTCCCTATCAGGAATATGGTCAATAATAAAGTAGCCAGAATTATGTATGCATACCGTCATTTTAATTTGTCTTTATTGAGACAAAGATTTGCATGCAGGTGGTTTATTTAAGAAGCCATCCCAGAAAGCAGAATGAACAGGGAAGGAGGAAACGTCATTTAAGGCGGTCGCTGCTGTGAGCAAAATAGGCTGATGCCACCAACAGCCCCGGAGGAGCACAGAGAACGCCTGTGCATTCTGACCACTAAAGGGAGAGGCTGGTGTCCTCACTCGCTGGCCCCTGGTATCAGGGCGCGGAACTGCCCCTCACCTCTGGGCTGTGTCAAGACAGCTTCTGAGGGCAGAATGCAGGAAGATGTGCCCGCTTGAGGGGTGATGCTGGGGGCACACAGACTGACCCCCAAATCCGTGGTTGCACTCAGAGATGGGCAAGGGAGGTGACATACCAATAAGGTGGGATGCAGCAGAATTTTCAGAATTCCTGTGCTTACATGGACATGAAACTTTAACAGTACTACAAATAGAGACTGTGTCTTTAACACTTCCCATGCCAAAGAAATTTGGTAAAGGTCTTCCCAGTTTGACGACAATCCTAAACATGTACATGACTGCTTGACCAATAATAAGTTGCGTAGCTGAAAAAAGCTCTTTTAAACTATCAATAGTGAGTAACAAACTTTATTTTCTGTTCTATCTATAGACGATAAAATCACAAAGTCATTGTTATAGGAAGAGGTGATCAGATTATGCAGCCAAATATGTAAGAAAATCTTTTAAAGAAAGAATTGTCACATTTTTCTGGATTCTTCAGGGTTTACGTACTTGTGAACTTTTAAAAATTTGTAAATCGTTGTGATTTCTTCACTCGTTCTAACTACATATTCAAGTCGGTACCCAATTTTGTATTTATAGATTTATGTTGTACAGTGAAGGTTCTCGGCAGCCTGTCAGCAGCCTTCCGCTGGGAGGAGCCATCGTTGTCAACAGTCACGGAGGGTCAGGCCCCTGGCCACCAAGACCAGGGGAAGTCACTGAACATGCTGGATTTCTTATTGGTTTTAGGAACAATTAGCCATTCAAGGGCACAGACACTCTCTTGCTTGGAATGGTACCTGATGCACTTTATTAAAGATTATCTGAGGGTCATGTGGAGGGGAGCTGATCCAGAAGCACACAGAATCGTACTGTCACTCAGGCATGCTCTCAAATGAGAGAAAAGCACTTTGCAAAGATGCGGCTAAGGAAGCGTCCTGTGAGCCTGCGACACAGCAGCCCCCATCACTGTTTGCTGAGTAAGTTTACCCAAGGTTTTGTTTCCCTGAGCTCCTTAGGAGCGCATGTCACCGAGGGACTCAGTGTCCTCCTTGGTCTCCAAACACCTGTTTGATCTGGGGGTTGAAGGGATTCTCCTTTCCAAGGACCTCAGGCCACTGACGCTGCACCTTGTTCCAGAAGCGATCTGCCAACAGCAGCAAAGCCACCTGCGAGAAAGGAGTAACAGTAATTGTAACAAAGCCAAGAAATTACCAGCAAGATTTACTTACTCTATTCTTCGTGTGGTGGACAGACTCTAGGATGGTCCCCCACAATTCCTACCTTTGTGTCTCTTTATGATCCCCTCCCCTTGATGTGGGTGAGACCTATCACCTGGTTCTCACCAACAGAATGCGGAGAAGGTGAAAGGCTGTCACTTCGGCGATGATGTAACAGTATGTGAAACTCTGTTCTGCTATCGGTCTTTCCCCGGAGACTTTCCTTGCTGAAGTGATGAGGCAGGGAGCCCACGTGACAAGGGGCTGAGGGCGGCCTCCAGCTGACCCAAGAAGCTGGTGCCTCAGTCCTACAACCACAAGAAAATGAATTCTGCCAACAACTCAAGGGAATCTGAAAGTGATTCTTCCCCAGTTGAGTCTCCAGATGAGAACGTGGCCTGGATGACGCACCTGAACTTTAGCTTTTAAGCAGAAGACCCAGTTAAACGGTGCCAGCATTCCTGACTCACAGAACCAATGTGATTTAAAAAAAACCCAGTATTGTTTTAAGCTGCTAAATTTTCTCCGATTCGTTATTTAGTAATAGATGACAAATACACTTCTTCAGAATGCCATTTATTCACTTATCTGTGGACAGCTACCATTCACTGCAGAACTAAGGGTCGGGTCAGGACGAGCCCCTTCCTCAAGAACCCCCAGTTTCCTGAGGGAGCCAGACATGCGAACGACACCACTAAACTCGTAGCAAGGGCTGTGAGAGGGACGCACACAGCTGAGCGGGGCAGGAGGGGACAGCTCCTCTCTGGAGAGGGTGATGGCCGAGCTGAAGTTTGAAGGAGGACTTCACCAGAAGGGTCACATGGGGGACGGTGCCCACGGCAGAGGACACAGCAGGTGCAGAGGCGTAGGGGTGTGGGTGGGAACAGCACACTGGGGAACGATGGGTGCCTGGGAAACGGGGCTGCACAGGTAGCGGGAGGCGGGCGGGTCCTGAAGGAGGCTGCGGGCACAGAGTGTGTGGCAGGCGGGCAGGTGAGGAATCCTGGCTTAGCGCACGGCAGGCCTGCCTGGCTGTCCCAGACTGATGCTCAGTGTCTGGTCGCTTTGCTGTCCGTTAGGTTTCCCTTAGTCACAACGTTAGCAGGGTCCGTGCTGGTTGTCCCATCCTCTGGCTTGTCGTGTGCACAGGCCTATGACGAGCGGTCTTTTTCTGTAGGTGATGTCCTCATTCACTTAGCAAATGGGGCCTGGCCAGGCCTTTGGGCCCCATGTGGCTTTATCTTCACAGGGGTTTTTAATACTGAATGATCAAAAAACATGACGGCCGAAGGCCTCAGAGGAGAAGATGTTGTTCAGGGAGGTTGCTCAGGGACGTCCCACTTTGTTCAGAAGTACGTGGACGTTGTCTCCCACGGGCAGGTCCCGTTTGTCACTCCAGCACACGGAGCTGCCAGCTCCCTGTGCGAGGCTGGGCGCCCTTCTCTCATTTGCAAAATGAGTGGGCTAGAGAAGGGGTCTAGTGACCTCTCTGGGTCTGAACTATGTGCAAGAGCTTAGCAGTTGTCAGAAAAAAACAACTGATCGAGTGGCTGCATTAAATATCCCGTGTATTAATATGTTCCCAAGGCCGCTGAGGTGGGCCCCAAACTCCATCCGTCCAGCTATATAATCCCAATCTTATCCATGCAGTGTCTAACACACCACACACACACACAGACACACACGCACAGATCACATATATCACTCACACACCCCGCACCACACACCCCGCACCACACACATACCACACCCATACGCCACACACACACCCACACCACACACATACCACACATGCTATATACCACACACATACACACACCCCACACCACACACACACCACATGATATACACCACATACACACACCCCATACCACACACATACCACACATGCTATATACCACACACATACACACACCCCACACCACACACATACCACACGATAAACACCACATACACACCCCCCACACCACACACATACCACACGATACATACCACATATACACATACCCCATACCACACACATACCACACATATATATGCCACACACATACACACACCCCACACCACACACATACCACACGATATACACCACACACACACACACAGACCACATATATCACACACACACCCCCATACCACACCGCATATACCACACATGATATACACCACACCCACACACAGACCACACATACACACACAGACCACATACCACATGTACACCACATACCTACAATCACGTACACCACATTTACCACAAACACACACACACACACACATACACAGAGACCACATATGTCACTCACATACCCCACACCACACATACCACACATGATATACACCACATGCACACACAGACCACACACACACACACACGCACAGACCACATATATCACTCACACACCCCACACCACACACATACCACACGATATATACTACACACACACATACCACACGCACATACCACACATGATATACACCACACATACACACAGACCACACACACACACAGACCACACACACACACAGACCACACATATCACTCACACACCCCACACCACACACATACCACATATGATATACACCACACACACACATACCACATCACACACACAGACACACACACACGCCCCACACCACACGTACACCACATACGTACAACCACATACACCACATTTACCACACATACACACACACACACACACACACACACACACACGGGGCTGACTGTCAGGCTGGCAGGTTTCTGGGAAGGGTCTGATCATCTCGCACGCAGAGCGACCAGCGTCCCCGAGGACAGAGGGCTGGCCTTGTGGCTGTTTTGCCTGCTGTTTCTCAGCATAGGAGGCTGCTGCCGAGTCAGCAGAGAATGACTGGTTGTTCTTTTTCATTGATTGCCTTTCAGCCTGATGCACATAAGCTGTCTTCCTAACAACACGTGGCGCCAAGGCATTTGTGGTCATTTATTTCTCTATCCAAATTAATAAGGGAAGAGATAAGGGTGAGGATGAGAAGAAAGTTAAGATGAAAGAGCTCAGATCGAACATGTGGGTACTGTGTGGTTTGAAAGCAATTAGTTGGCTGTCACTCTAGTGGAGATTAAAATATTTATGTGTGTGCATTGCTAATATATTGGCTCCAAAATGAGAGCGGCATTGTTATTACTAAACTAGAGATTTGGGATAAAACAACCCACTGTAATCACTCATTCGTCTGAGGAACATTTGCTGGGCACCCACTGTGGGCTCTTCTTACAAACGGGCTCCCCTCCTAACTCCCATGATGCACAGCGGTGGGCAGGCCCCTCGTCCTGTCTCCCCGTTCCTCCAAATTAGCTCTTCCTGGAACACGAGTATCTTTTGTGCTTCCTTACTCATAGTTTAAAATATTAAAGCAATACCTATTTATCTGAGAAAAATTTAAAGAGGCAAACAAAAAAAGAAAAACAGAATAAATAAAAACCATCTGTAATTATAATAGAAACAGCCACCATTGACATTGGGTATGGAGCCTTTCTGATGCACACACGTGCACACACGCACACACACAAACTGGATCCCTCTGTAAATATTATTTTATAGTCTGCTCTTTTCGAGGCGTAGTTTACACACAGTAAAATTAACTCCGTTTGGTGAATAGTTCCCACGAGTGTTGACAAATGCACACAACTGAGCCATCGCCCCCACGATCTTAAATCTGCCATTATTTACTTTGTTCTGTATAACAAACATACTCTTGTGTCCCTAAAGGTAGATCAATATCATCACTTTTATTTGATGCGTGGTATTCCATCAGATGAATGCAAACTGATTTATTTCTCCAATGGAGACTTTTTGCTACCCATCTCCCTGGCTTTCGTCCTCAGGGCAGGGGACAGGGACAAACAGCATCCTTCTGCCAGCGCACACAACGTCTGCTGCACCAGAGGAGTTCATAGGCTGCTTCTCTCACTGACCCTACTAAACACGCATGGGGATGACATCTGGTCCAGTGGGACACGAGGAGATGACGGAGTTCTGGCTGAGCGGGCTTTTCTGGTTAATGGAGCGAAGCCCTTCTGTGTCCCTTCCTCTGGAGCTGGCTCAGCTCCCTGTGTGCTCTTGCCATCAAAATCAAACCCTAAATAGTAACTAGCTTTTCGTAATATTTTAAAAGAACAAATGTAATTTGTAGCACGATTATATAAATTTTGCCCAAAGCTTTTCATGGCTCGATACCTCTTAAGTGGAATCCTTGCTAAATTTAACTCTGGGCTTCTACAGGACCGAAGTTAAAAATCCACTTCGAATTTATTTTTCCTACAGGAAGAATGCTTCTGGGACGTGTGGGCGCGATGGCTCTTGAACACAGGGAGGGCCTGGCTTTGCTTCTCTGGCTTCTTAATCTGCCCAGAAACACAGCCTAGTGGGTTTTGGTCTCAATTCATTTTAAATCTGTAAACTTACAACGTGACAACAATGTAAGTTGTATTTAAACACATTTAAGGGAAAACATGAATCCCCAGCTGCAGCCCCTCTGTACTGATGCACCACGTCATCGCCAAAACCACGGTCGCTGGCTGGTACAAAGCAAAGCGAATAGACAGGCTCCCTGATGTTCGGGCAGGGCCAGCTTAAAGGGACAGCTGTTTGACTGACGGTCCCTGGGCCAGGAAGGCCCGCCCTCCACTCTCCTCCCGGCATAACTTCCTTTTTGGGGGATCAACTCCCCCAGAACCATCGGCCATATGTCCTGTGTCTGCTTCCAGCTGTGTGCAGGGTCCAGGGCTCAAGGAAGAGCAGGGAGACTGACGTCATGGAAAATGTACTGCTTGTGGCGAGAGTGTTAAGAGGATGGTGTGAGTTCCTACCGGTGTTATCGGAGGAGAGGAGGTTGTTTGCAGAGAGGCTTGTTGGGCGAAGCCGCTAAGCAAGGCAGGAGGTGTCGGGGGCGTTCAGCGAGGTGGCCCCGGAGTAGCCGTGGCAACTGGACTTTGCGTATGTCTGTCTGTAGCTTTTCCAACGGTTTCTGTTTACTACTGTCTAGCTCTAGGCCCAGAGATCTTTCAAATGCCTCTTCAGATGCTTAACTTTGTAGAGATTTAAAAAGTGGGCGCATTGCTGCAGCTTGCACAGGCCACAAATCTGGGTCTTGGGTCTTTGCAAATTCGTTTCTTTTCTAAGTCAAACTTTCTTTGCGTTTTGTCAGCAGTTTGGGGCTGCTATGCCCAACTCTTCACCACACCTGCTCTTGCCAGAGGCATCTAATGATCTCCCGTTTTGTTTTTTTTTTTCCCCAGTGAGTCCTTCTGTAATGGGCAATGGTCCCCACCCCGTGGGGGTCACATCTGTGTAATCCCTCTTCTTTGAGTGTGCTAGGATGTCACTTGCTCTAACTTCTTAATATGACAGAAGTGATGGATGTCACTCTGTGATTAGGTGACAAATAATCGTGCTTCCTGTCTCTTGCTATCAGACTCTCTCTGCTGCCTTTTGTCTTGCACTCACTGATGAAGCGAGCTGCCATGTTGAAGGGGCCCACATAGGGATAAACCAGGGTGGCCTCTCACCAACAGCCCGCTAGGAACTAAGACCCTCAGTTTAACAGGCCTCAGGGAATTGAATTCTGCCAACAAACATGTGAGCCTGGAGGCAGATCCTTCCCCAGTCAAGCCTGCAGATGGCACCCAGTGCTGGCAGACACCTTTCTTGCACTTGGGAGAGACAGTGGGACAGAAGATCCAGCTCAGCTAGGCCTGGATTCCTGGCCCACGGAAACTGTGAGAAAAGAACAGTGTGTCGTTTTAAGTCGTTTCGGTATGCGACAGCAGATAACTAAACCCCTTGCTGAGTCCTAATCCTCTCTAACCTTTATTTCTCTTTGCAATTTGACTACTTGGGCCAATCTCATCCCCACGAATATCTCCAGCTCTTAACGAGAAGCTGGTGATTCCCAACCCCGTGTCTCCAGGCTGGGCTCCCCTCCGCAGATCAGAACCCCTTGTTTGATCTAATGGCCCTTTCAAGGGTTCCACACTGTGCAGGCGCCGCAAATTTAGAACGTTCGACTCTGCCCCTTCTTCTGAGTTCTTTGACTTGGTACTTTTCGCCTCTTTTCATTCGGTCGCCCGGTCCTGTGAGTCGCCTCCCTCCTACCCAGCAAATCGAGTCAGCCAGCGAGTCTGGCATTATAGCCTTCTCTTTCCCCCGCTTATGTCGAAGAACATATTTCTCAAAATTCTCGTTCTACATTTTGGAACTGAGATGAAAAAATAAAGCAGTTGTCAGTCTGTATATCAGGAATTTTTCTATGCTTGTTTGTTTTCCATTGAAAGATAAGCATAGAGTTTAGATAGTGAATATAATTTGGCTCAAAAATGATCATGTGTAAACCGCAAATTCGAATGGTTCGACATGAGCCATGTTTATGTTTATTAAATTTGTCTCCCTAAGAAAACTGGAGCCATTGTACCCACTGTGGTCAGATGCTCCCCTGGCTTCTCTAGCAGGGTTTTAGGGAGAAGTAGACTAATAATGTAAAGCCTGCTCCCCTGCTGGTGGCGAGGAACCAGTACCAGCTGATTTTTTGTTCCGACGACGTAACAGGAATTGGTGACAGGGCAGTTTGAAAAAGATCTGAGTCAGCTGTTTGGGTTTGCATGATGTCTGTGCCACAAGGACGAGGTCCTGAGGCCCACCGTGTCCACTGGGCTCTTTCAAGATGGAATAGAGATGGACTCTTATAGCTGCCCCATTATCTAGAAGGATCCATTACCACGGTCTCTGCCACGAGGCAGGTCATCTGGAGGGGACTGTGCAGGGACAGCCAGAGGCTCCTATTCAAGGCTTCAAGTCACGAGTTTATCCTGTTATTTCCTCCAATGTGCCGTGCTTTCTTTCATGCAAAAGCACCTTCTGTCACCCCTCCCCTCTGCCCTTCGCATGCCTGGTTCCTGGTCTGAGTTCTGAATTACCTCCTCGGAAAACCTCTTCTAACGCTCCTCCCTCCCGGCCTGCCCCCCACGGCGCTCCCACAGCATGAGCTTGCACATTCGGAGGCTCTTTATAGTTAATAATCTATAAAGAGCCTCCGAATGTGCATTTACCACTTTATAGTTAATAATCTCCCACTCTGCACCATAATCTCCTTAAACGGCAGCGGTGGTTTCCTGTTCACTGTTGAATTCCAGTGTTTGATGTGGGGTAGGCACTCAACAAACACTTTGAGATGGCACGTTGCGATCTGGACTGTTCAGCTCGACAGACAGGATAAATAGGCAGGCTGTAGGCATGGCTATCCACTGTCGCCCACGTTAGGTGTGGCTCTATCCCCGCTGCCCACTCTGTCTCCCGCTGCCTGCACGTGGACAAAGCCTTCAGGAATCACACAGGGTTACGGCACATACCAGTTTTCAGCTTTTGACTCTGTTCTCAATAATCAGTTATAGGCAAAGCTGTCTGAGTGTAAGACAGAGCTCCAAGTTGGCAGACTTTGAACCCTGATATTATTTAAAGAGCCAGAGACGGGATGGTCTTTTGATAGGTCAGACAGATATGTCCCAAGGGATAAGACCAAGCTGTCTTTTTAGCTTGTTCCTAATTAACTCCCTGTCTTATCATCTCTTTTTATCTCTTTTCTCTATAGAATCAGAAGAGTAAAATTCTATTTTTGTGCAAAGAAAGACAAGAACTACTACCTAATTATTTCTAAAAAGAAGGTCTCTACATTAACTATTCAAAAAACCAAAGACATCATTTTTTTTTGCGGTGGGGGTGGGGTGGGGTAGGGGGCAGACTATAATATTTAACCAGGTTCTGGCCAAAAATTCCCTTGGATCGACTCATTCAAATGCTACACAGAAAAGTTAGATGTTCTGAAGAGTATTACTTAGATTTATTTCTTTGGTTATTTCAAAACAGTGAGATGGGCATCGAATACTCACTGTAAAATTTACCCAGCCCCTGTGGGACTCCACCGCTCATTCATCTGTCAATGAAGTTTTTCTTTTCTATTAGCACTGTCCATGGGTTCTTGCTGAAC